ACAGCATAGCAGTACATGCCTTCTCTAACCAGTTTGCCAATAGTACTATAGCATCTGTGGAAAATCTTAGAAAGAAAACATTTGCTCCCCCACCCCCTCTCTTCCCTGTTAAAGACCATCCCCAAATACTTTCAGTAATAATAAGTTTAAGGGGTTAAAACACTTTAGAAGTCTGATTAAGGGGGGAAAGAAAGAGTTAACTACCAGCCATTTCTCCAAAGGACAGCTCCTCCAAAGTGAGAGCTACTCGTGGATCTAGTTTCTAGAAATTGTAAACCTGTGGTGTTCTGATTATCCTGATACTGGATTTTCTTTTTCTGTTACCTGGAGTCATTTGCCTTTAGGAGTCTAGAAAGACCTAAGGGGAAAAAAACTCAAAAACATTTCGCCATCCCCACCACAAAAAAGAAAAACTTCCCCCCCAATTAACACCCAGACTCATTTACAAAACTAATTCAGGGTGAGGAAAAAGAAAATAAGTCATCTATTCACCAAATACTTCATTGCCAACTAAAAACACAAGCTGCTTGAAGTTGTATGTTCTGTAAAATTCACTTTTCCTTCACACTGGTGGAAAAAAAAAACTTGCCATCTACCATTTCTGGAGGCCTTGGCAGTCTGCCCTCAAAAGCTTCAGACAAAGATGAGAACATAAGCCTGAAAAAGAAAAACCTACAACACCCGGAAATCGGCCTATATGCATACACACACCCCCACGAAAATCCCTCTCCAGAGGTACAACTCCCCCATTATCATTAGGAAACAAGTAAATAAAGTTACCACGCTCAAGTTACAATATAAACGACATCGCCGACCGCCCGGACTTTTACCACACCACTCGCTCTCCCCGGAGCCTCGCAAACTGCCATGCTGGTCTAGGGTCGGCTAGCTATTCTCCACAATGCATGCTCGCCTCCTCCGCGGTAGTTGACAAGCCAAAGACGCCAGCTAGCTTCAGCACCAAATCGCACTGGCTGCTCCTTCCTCGAATGCCTTCCTAGCTTCACCACAAATCGTTAGGGCTCCTTCCTTCTTCCTAGCTTCCTTCACCAAACCGCACCGGTTCCTGGACTCCTTCCTATCTTCACCACGAACTGCTGCTTGCTCCTCAGTCCTAGCTTCAAACACTGGCTCCTGGAATCCTGTCTTCCTAGGTTCACTGCATCCACTTCTGTGTAGCACCTGGGTCAGCTGCCAATTAACGCTAGTCCTCATAATTTTACAAATCATCTTAGCTCAAAGTCCAATGCAAACACATTATTCTTGATCTTGAAATACTTGAGTAATCAAAGTCCTTTATATTTTTCAAAGCAAACTAAACTACTGGATCTAAAGCCTTTTAAATTCAAGTCTTCCAAAAGCATTCTGCCTTAGTTTTTAGAATTACTTTAGTCCTTTTAATTTTTTGATGTGGTTTTAAACCAATTTCCTTCTAGTTTAACGTTTTCTAAATTGGCTCGTCTACAAATTTGAACACCCTCATCTGAGACTTCTAATTTCTGCACCACCAGAAATTAAAGTTGATGGGCTTTTTGAAAAAATTACTAATAATTTCCTTGTTGTTCTATTTTATCCAATATTCAACTTCAAACTTCTCTTCTACCTTTTTCTATCTTGAATGTCTGTATCCAACAGATGTCTTAGCTTCTTGCATTTTCTATCTGAAATACCTTTACTTGACATTTTCAACCATTTTCTATCTTGTTTCTATCTTCTAGTTTTCTTCTAAGGTTTGTACATTCACCCTTAGTTGCTTTTTTCCTCCTAGTTTTCTTTTGCTTCCTATTTTGTGGGTTTAAAATTCTTGTCTTCCTACATCTTCTCTATCTCTTCTTCACCTTCCTGTACTTCTGTCTTCAAAGTTTTCCACTTCAAATTTCTAATCTTCTTTCTCCAAATTGCTTTTAACCTATTATCTTCCCATTTTCATGGGGTTTTTTTTAAGTAATGCTTTTAAGATTAACTAGGCTTCGAATGACGCAAATCATTCCTCCGCCATGAAGGCATCTTAACCACCTTCAATTTAACCTTTTAAAGCCTTCCAATTATCACCTATACTATACTTTTAAATGACTTTTCACCACCTACAGCTTCACTCTTTTAAACGAGGCTTAGATTCTGTTTAAATCGCTTTAATGTTAGTTTACACGGCTGCACTTCAACTAAAGGCTTTTATTAAGGACTCTGCAATCCTCTAGACAACTTCTTTCAAATCCTTTTTTTACTCTATTAAGAAGCTTCGCCTCAATCTGCCATGTACAAACACTTTTCTTCTTTACTCAAGCTTTTAAAGCCTAGTTTCCTCAAAATCTTTTTAAATGGCATTAAAATTACTTCAAGAACTTAACGCTAAGCATTATTTTAGAAAGCTATTCCCTATTTATGTCTGATAAAATTATCCTAGTCACTATCTTTTCTTTTCAGATAGAAAAACTTATCTGTCGCTTCCTCAAGCTGCGCTGCCACCTCCTGTGCTCTCTCTGCGCTCGCTGCCTGAATGCCTGCCGCAGAGCCGGGAGAGGCGTATTTATAGGCCACTGACAACTCACACAGCCGGAACCAAGTAGCCCTCCGCCACCTTTGTGAGGGAAGCAAAAATAGTTCCTCTGCAGGACTAAAAATAGACTGACTTCTAAACTTTCTGGATTTTTCTTTACAATGTATGGAACTTGAATGAAAACTAATACCCAGAAATACTTAAGAACCACTTGCAAGTAGATTTAAGCTTACAATTTAGGCTAATTAAAGAAATGACTATTACATTTAAGTCCTTTATCCAGAAGTTCACAGAAACTATTCCTTGGGACGTCTAAAATTAGCTCTCAAAACCACCTTTCATGTTTTCTCGGTACCGTAGGTAGTTTACAGTCCTTTGGAGGAAGGTCGGATTGGGTTTGAAATGGCTTAATCTCCATTTTGTAACTGGGCGTTAGCAAGCAAACGGCAGGAACAAAATGGTTTCTCCCGGAGCCAAACCCTGCGCCTCGGCGCTCAGTGGACAGCACACGGTTTGACTCATTCGAGAAGCCCCCGGGTTATTTGGGAGTCACGGCATGAAAACACCCACTTGTAGGGACTGTCCCGGGCGGAGGCCTGGGAGGGCTCTGTCCCCGTCAACGCCGCCGGACCCCTGCACCTTCCTCCCCAAGCCCGCTTCCCGGCCCCCTTCAGTCGTCCTAAGCCTCCAGCCTCACAATTACCCACAGCCACATCGCCACCTTTTCAAAGTCCCCCCGCAGGAGGAGCCGGCCTTGCCTCGAGGGAAAGCAGTTCCGGGACCCCCATTGCTTACAAACCCCTGCTCCTGCGCTGGCGCCGGGGGTGGCTCCACGGATTCTGTATCATCCCCTACTTCACTCTGATCGTGCCTTATGCGGGGGAGGGGCGGACAGCAAAAGGAAAGGATTTTTGTAAACCCCAAAGCTTTTTATTGCGGTTTGAGAACTTTTATTTAAACAGAACTCTCCCTGGAGCTGCTTCAGGGGCTCTTGGAGAGATCTCGGCACCCGTGCAGCTCCCCAACACGAGTTTGCACCCAATTGCGGCGGCGGGGCCCTCCGTTTCCTGAGTCCTCGGCCTCAGAAGAGGCGGGAGAGGAGAGCGCCCGGAAGCCCAGAGCCAGCTGCGGCCCCTTCCGCAGGGGACAAAGGCCGGGGGAGGGGCTGCAGGCGCGCCGCGCAAGGATACGAGGTCCGTGAGCCGCCCTCCCTTTGTGAGGCGCCGGCTCGCGGGCGGGCGCTGCCTGTTCTAACCGGCTCCAGCCGGTCCTGGCCGTGAGCTGCGGCGGTTGACGCAGCGCCTCAGTGCGCAGGCGTGCCCCACCCCCAGCACTGCAGTCGTACCCGGTTGGGGGCAGGGCGCAGCTAGAAGGAGCCTAGTCTTTCCGGTCGCCAGGTTTTGGGGGTCCCGCACGTGGGCTCTGGTCTTGCCCCGGAGGAGCCTCTCGCTGCCCCTCCGTGTCATTTTGCCCTCCTCCTTTCTTGCCCCGTCATTAAAAATGAACACACCATCCCTGCTAATTATCCAATGCTGTATCTTTATGGAAACACGCTTTGGAGGTCACCAGGTGTAATTGAAGCCAGAATTAGGCAGGCAGGCAGTATAGACAGGTAAACTGAGTCTGGTCGGATCAAGGAGGCTAATTTTGAGTGAGTGGGGGAAGTCGGAGAACGTCCTCTGAGGGATTGAGGAGGCTCCTGGGAGCCCTTCCTCCACCCTGATCCAGACCCTGCCCCTGCCTGTTGCTGAGGTCACCTGTCCCAAGAGGGCCCCTCCCTACAGGGAGTCCTGAAGCTGTGGGTTACTGTGTCCAGGGCTGTCCACCCTGCCCTTCCCCCTACCTTTAGGCCACCCCACCAGCACTTCCTAGGCCTCGTCACACCCGCAGGAAGGAGGAGAGAAGAGGAGGAGAGCAGGAGGACAAAGGACCCTGGGACAGATAAAGAGGGCAGCCTCCCTTCTTGGCACACCAGGGTACCAGCTATGGCCCCTTCTCCCTCCAGGCAGGAGACTGTGTTAGGAGTCCAGTGCTTTTTAAATAAACCCTGCTTCATATCCTTGCCTGGGCCTGCTGCTCTAAGGTTCAGACTTCACATTGTGAGGAAGCAGAACTCACTCATCACCAATAACTGGCAATATCATAATTAGTCCGGGTTCTAACCAGAAGGGGGTCTCAAGCTGACCTAGCTGCTGCCAGGCCTTTTAGAAGAGAAACAAGCCGGTGGCTCAAGATGGAGCACTCAATCGGGGCGTAGGACTGGAGCTTGGCACCAAGGACACAGTGATGACGCCACCTTCTCGCCCCTTGCTTATCAACAGGATCTTACCTGGAACCTGCAAAGTGCCTCCCTTGAGTGCTGGGATGGACCCCAGGGCCTCCCTCCACCCCTGAGTCACCCCAGCCTCAAACTGCCCTGTTTTAGGCATCAGCTTCCAAGAGAGGAAGCCTTGTGACCCTGCACAGGTTGGGATGGCAACTGAATAATGACAAAGAAAGTGGGTGAATTGATACTTTGTTTTATTTTTAAATGTTTTTATTAGCAAAAGCCCTTTGGCTCCTGTAAATGACAGTAGGGGTTGTGAAGGGATGGGGTGCTGGCCAGGGGGGCTCCTGTGTTAGCCCCCGTCTTTCATCTCCCAACTCCCTTAAAGCAGGGCCAGTTTCAGCAGGTTTTGTCCATTGACTCTGTCAAAGCTGTTCCTGATTTATCTTTTTTGCTTCTTTTTCTAAAGGCTTAAGAGTGGAATGTTACTGAGATGCAGCTGGTTTCCCTTTGGACACCGTCTTGATGCTTGCTCTGGAATTGGAAAATTTTAAATAGAATTTTATCTCTGGCAGGAAGAAAACTGAGTCAGGTCACCACAATTTACAGATAGGGATTTGGAAGCCTGGGGAGTTGATGATTTGCTTAAAATTAGACACAATTAGCTAGCAGAAGCTGTTCTTGAATCCCTCATTTATGACCTTCTGCTGCTTTTATTCCTCCCCCAAACCTCCTGTCTCCCTCCCCAGTATTGCGGTTTTTCCATGGCTGGGGGAGGGCCTAGGCCTGCTCTGGACCCATGAAATGAATGTTAAGGCCCCAAGGAACTTTAAATAATTGTCAGTATTCTTAAATTTACCATTTCTATTTCCCTTACAGATTACAGAATTTTTCTTATACTGTTAAGAGTGGCAACATATTGGTTAGCTGATTCCCGAGTTGTAGAAAGAAGTAGAGGATTAAATGGAGCTTGGTGCTTGGAAAGCTCTTGTACCTAAACAAATGGCTTGGCAAAGGCCAGGGAGAAGATTCCAACTTAATCCCCAATCATCAGTAAGTGAAAAATAACATTTTTAGAGAACATTATGGACAGTAGCCCCGTTTTTACTGCTTGGACCCAAACATTTACTCCCTTCATCTTCCTAGTTTTTTGGTTTTGTTTTCTTCACAAAACAGACTCTGGCTATCTCCGGAATATCCTGACTTCTCCTCTTTGTCTAGCAAGGTTCTTCTTTTCTGGAAAATTTCTTTAAACAGGACAGCCTAGGCTGGGGACGAAGTCTGTTGGTAGAGCCCTTGCCTAGTAGGCGGGAGGCCCTGGGTTCGATTCCCAGCACTGCAATAATAACAGCAACAAGAAGAAAGCCTGCAATGGCCAAGTGCTTCGGTGAGGAGATTAATAACCATCTGATTATGTTGTGTACCCTCTGCTCATGTCTTGGAACTAAGGATCCTTCAAGGAAGCACTGAGTTTTTTTAAGGCACCTTTTCTCTCTGGGCATCCATGTTCCTTTTGACTTCATAAAGTCCTATAGCTGCTTTTCCACTGGCACTTTAATATCTTATTATTTATCTTCCACTTTAGTCTCAAACCTAGTCTTCATTTAGGCCTAAGGACACCAATGTAAGAGGATCAGTCCATTTTAGCCAGTCACCTCATGCTCCTCTCCAACAGCCCAGGCTAAAAATAGGAGGCCTTGGATTCTTATTCTGGCAGTCACTCCACTGATAAACAGCCATGTGACCTTGGGCACAAACCCAATAACTTCTGAGTGGCAACTTCCTCCTGTGTGAAAAGATAGTATGAAATCAAAGAAGCAATGATGCTTATTTTATAAACAAAGGGGCAGGAATAGATGTGGAAGAATTTAGGCCTCCTGGCTGTGGCTTCAAGGAGCTATGGTGCTGAAAAGCAGTAAAACAGCAAAAATTTAGAGTCAGGCCTCTAGGTATGCTACCTCAGCCTCTGGACTCACACCAGTCCAGAAACCTCCAGAGAATTCCCGAATCCACCCACCCCTTCCCTGGTGAGCAATATAGCAGGAATCCACTAATGCTTTTGTGTAACACCTGCTCTGCCATTGCAGTTTTTTTTTTTTTAAATACTTATTTTATTTATTTTTATGTGGTGCTGAGGATCAAACCCTGTGCCTCACCCATGTGAGGCAAGCGCTCTACCACTGAGCAACAACCCCAGCTCATCGCAGTTTATCTATTTATTTATTTATGGTGCTGGGGTTTGAATTCAGGGCCTAGTACATGCAAGGCAAGCATTTACCAACTGAGCTATAACCCCAGCCCCATCATGGTTTATTTTAAAACTGACTTTTTTGTGCCTCCTCTTCTCCCTCTCCCCTTCCTTAACCATGGAGGATGCAAAATGAACCTTCTTCTGTCCTAGGCTGTTATCTGTCCTTCAGCACATGAACCACAGGAATGAAGGAATCCAAACTTCAGGGCCAGCACCTATCCCAACTAAGAAATGGTTCTTTCCTCAAGCTACAGATGTTGTGGGGACAAACGAGGCAAGGCAAGGAAGATAGCAGGAAACAGTTTTATTTGGCTGCAGCCAGGTTCAGGGGGCAGAGCTTTTGCTATAATGAATCAATCCCCTGAACCCCAAGTTCAGGGAGTTTCAGAGTTTTATACCCAGCAGGTAAGGGGAGGGGCTCAGAAGTTCACAGTCTGCAGAAATTCACATAGAAGCAGCTTTTCTTTCACTGTTCTGGGCAAGTTAACTCTTCAAGGACAACACCTGAGAAGGGGAGAGCTGCTTCTCCTCTTTTTTTCCTCCCCCTGCCAGCTGTTACTATGGAGCCCAATTGGTAATTTACCTTAAAAATGTGAAGCTCAGCTCAAGGCCAGAGGCCTTGTTTGCACATTTCTGCAAACTACTATACTGGATACGTTTATGAAAAATGTATGAAAGTGCCCTGCACCTGGAGTGCTGGTGTCTTCCTGGCCAGTGGCCAAGTAAAAAGCAGGGCAACAGAAAATAAGAAGTTTTCTACATTGAACTCCTTTGCAGAGACTCTCTTGCTGACAGTCCTAAAATCAGCCATGATGAAGATTTCTGGAGAAGCCCAGGTAAGACTTTTCTGTGGAGAAAGGGGTGCCACTTCACAGATGACTCCTGCCCTGGGCCCAGCTGGAGTGAAGCCTTTGTATCCCCTCTTTAAAAGCCCACTGTTTCCTCCCTCCACCCCCCACTCCCGCAGTGAGAATCCCAGCCTCCAGGACAGGAGTCCTCTGTTATTCCCCTTTGCTAGCAAAGCAGTAAAACTTGTTTTTCCTTTTTTTCAAAACTTTGTCCTAGTTATTGGATTGGCATCAGGTCAAGGATCAAGCTTTAGGTGTCAGTAATTCTGACTGCTCTTCACAGAAGCTTCTGCAGTCCTTCACTGAGGCTAGTCTGGGCCAGTCCACCCTCATTGGACCCAGTCCTGATTTTAATGCAGTCCTGTAATCTTTATGTAAAAGCAAGGAGAGCCTCAAGAAAAACAACTTCCTTGCTGAAGACTTGGAATTTGCAGTTCCCTTCCCCCTCCCCCACACCACCTCCATCTCACCCCCACCCAGAGCCAATTTCTGGAACTATGTGAGCTGCTGAGGCAGCTGAGCAAACTTGGGCTCCTCCTACGGCTGGAAAAAACCCACAGAGATGACGCAGTCAGAGCTCTGCATTGCAGAAGAGAGAGCTTTGTTTCCTGGGGAGTTTTGGACTGCTAAAATGGAACCTTGGAGAAAATTAACCTTTGAAACACGCTGGACACACCCATGACCTGTTAGACCAGGACACAAGAAAAGACCACTGACTCCAATTAAAATCAAATTAACGCAAGCTTATTATTTCGACCGGCCGGGCTGCCTCTCCCTCCCAAAACGGCGGGAACAAGACAGCACCCCAGCTTTTCTGAAGTCCAGCTTTATAGCCCAGAAAGTTACACAAAGGGGGGTTACAGATAACAGAACTCTGACAAGCATCACACTAATGGTAGTTTACATTTTTGCTGGACCCAACATCAGAATTTATGAGGACCATTAGAGCCTCAGAGAGGGTCGTTGTCTGGCCAGGGAAGGCCAATATTTATGAGGTGTCACTAAGTTTCAGAGAGGGCTGCTATCTGGTCAGAGAGCCAGGCATGGGTGAGTTCAAGGCACGGGCAGGCATTCCAAGCAGGTTCAGAATTTGCAGTAATTTATAGTAAAGCCAAAATTAGCTTTTCATGGTTTTGTGGCGAGATGCCCAATTTTAAGAAAAGATCAGGTTGGGTCTATCATACCTTGCTGGGAGGTGAGGCAGTCCAGAAAACTAGTTCCAGAAACTCCAAGTGCCTATGTCATTGCTCTTCCACAAAATGAGGGGGGAGGGAAGAGGCAGTCCCAGCCACTGTTGTCACAGGCATTGAAGTCACCAGGGCAGAAGTGATGACAGCAGATTCTCTTACTGTCTTCCTGTGAGAAGGAACATCTTCTAAGTTTACCCTTTTCTAAAATTCTAGGAAGGATTCCATGTTAGACAGAGTCCTCTTCTGGGAAGGGAACAAAGGAGAAGGTCAAGAGTGATTCCCTGCCCGCCTCAGAGTTCTCCTTCCCTCCTGTAGTTTACTGGCTGCATAATGGCCCTGAGCCCTGCAGCCTGTGGTGGACTTTCCCGGAGGCCTGCCTGCGGAACCCACCTGTGGCCCTGAGGGCTGTGGAAGCAGGACTGACACAAAGAGCAAGACAGCTCCCAGAGGTGCTGAGGAGCCCAAGCCACATGGTGCTGCCTGTTGAAAATTCTGCAGGGCCCCTCAGTGGCTCCATCCCATCATGTCTAGTTTCCATTTGTTCTTTTTGGTGCTGAGGATTAACCCCAGGGGCAGTTTACCACTGAGCTACATCCCCAGCCCTTTTTAATTTTTCATCTGTGACAGGATCTCACTCAATTGCTAAGGCTGGCCTGGATCTCTCCATCCTCCTCAGCTTCCAGATGGATTACAGGTGTGTACCCTGCATCCAGCTAGTCTCTAGACTTTCCTTCCCCAGGGCCCTGTCTTCCTCAGACCCCTCCTCTTGAGCCAGCTAGTCCTGGGTGCAGACTTTCTAGCTAACCTCCTCTCCCCCACCTGCATAGTCTGCCTGGTCCTGTGGTCCCTCTGCTGTCCCTGATGTGTCTGCGTGAGAGCCCTGCACAGCACACAACTTTATTTCTGTAATGAATGGCGAGCACTGTGCTAAGCTCTTTCAGGCCTTACAACCCCGAGAAGGAGGTGCTGCAGTCATCCCCTTACAGATGGGGAAACTGAGGCTGAGAGCTATTCCTCTGGGTGTCACCAGTGCCTGATACACAATATCGGTTCAGTATGTGTCTACTGAGGAACAATTAAACTTTCTTTTGGGATTTAAGACACATACAACCTAGGTGTGATGGCTCAAGGAAGATCCTGGAGCCCAAGAGTTTTAAGTCCAGCCTGGGCCACCGAGTGAGACCTTTCTCTAAAAACAAACAAGTAGGGGCTGGGGCTGGAGCTCAGCAGTAGAGCATTTGTCTGGCATGTGTGAGGCCCGGGGTTCGATCCTACACCACATAAAGATGAATAAAATAAAGGCATGTGTCTATCTACAACAATACAACTAAAAAAAAATAAATATAAAAACAAAACAAAACATGCAACCATAATACTAAAAAGAGCACATGAGCACATCTGGTAGATGCTCAGGGAGTGAAGGGCATCTGGTAGTGCCACATGGGAAGGAGCTGTAAGAGCACAGCCTGTCCCCTGTTCTGAAGTGTTATGCCCAGAGACACTTATGAAAAAGAGATTTAGTCACATGTACCCATGAGGTTTTCAGCAGTTTGTCACTGTTGCTAATGAAGTTTGGGGGAGGGTGTCAGTGAAGAGCAGAGTGGTTATAGACAATATGTCTGCTTCGGCAGGCACAGAACAGATGGAGATTGGACATAAATGTGCCTGGCCATCAGTGGGGGTGAATGGCACTGAGCTGAATCACATGGGAAGCTGGGCCTACTTCCCTCTCCCAAGGCCAAACAGGCCAGGTGGGGATGAAGTCCATGCAGCTCCAGCTGAGCCTTCACCCCCAGGGTGCAGGGCTAAGGCTCAGTCCTTGCTGTGGGTGTGAATCACTCTGGGAGGCTCGAGGTCAGCCCTCACCTGCTGCCTCGTTGTGGCCTCTGGTTACTCATCCTCTGTGGCCTGCTGAGTGGAATAGCCTGGAGGAACAGTGAAGCTTCCTTGTGGGTCACATTCACATTCTTATATACCTGATGTGTTCAGTCACCCTCTTAAGGTCCCTGCAGATGTTTACGTTGGCCCAGAATGCTTTGCATGATGCTTATTAAGCATGACACCTTCTGCACACACACGCACACTCACAGAGGCATGCTCATTCCTCCTCAGTGACACTGTGGCCCATGTACTGCAGAAGCAAGTCTGTGGAACAAGGGGCTGGGATCTTTGTGTTTCTCAGTACTGCTAGAAAAATGTGGCCTGATGGGCTCTCTCCTGGACTGATGTGAGAGCCAAGCTGCTCAGGGCTGGAGGTGAAGCAGGCCTTGAAGCTCACCAGTCACAGGTTCCCTTCCTTCAGGTGACAACTTCTTCATAGGTTTTGAGGGTTTTCTGCATTGCAAAGAAGCTGGACAAGAAAGATTGACATTTTTCTCCTGATCCTGAAATCCTGTAATTCTAATTAGACCCTCATTTACAATGAATGCATCTGAAATTCAAAGTCACATTCCCAGCCAGGTTCAGTGGTATAGGCCTGTAATTCCAGTTATTCTGGAAGCTGAGGCAGGAGGGCAAGTTCAAGGCCAGCCTAGGCAATTTATTGAGAATATGCTGTCACAAAATTTAAAAAGAAAAGGGCTAGACATGTAGCTCAGTGGTAAAGTACCCCTTTAATCCCTAGTACTGAAAACAACAACAACAAAAAAAAGTCACATTCCCACATTGCTTCTTAGACACTCAGAATAGATAGCTGAACTGTCTGTCCCTTGACATCCCCTTGACTTAGTAGTGAGAATAATCAAACCCAACTACCACATATTCTGGGCCTTCTCCTGGGAGTTTATCTGAGGAAGCTGAGACTAAGTTTGATCTAGCCAAGAGGGAAACACGGGAGGAGAGGAGGTGCCAGAACAAGAACAATATCCAGAAGCAGAAACTAAATTCTGGCTGGAAGATTCCAGAAGTGTTCATGGAAACCATGTTCTTAAAGGATGAGCAGGACTTACCAGGCTTTAGTGAAGACCCAGGATGGGAACACCCCAGACAGAATAGATAAGCAGAAGCCTTGCACCCCCCAAATTTGTAAGGATTGTCTGAGGAAGAAGGGATGTACTATTTGGCTAGGAATGGGGTGCAGGTATTACAGAAAGTAGGGGAACAGGAGGAGGGCACTGGATTGAGTCTGGGAGAGCTTGAATCACCTGGGCTGGGAGTATGGCTCTCTTGTATGGGCAGAAGGATGACCTCTGCCTCCAGGGAGGCCCTGACTTTGGGAAAAACTGTCTGCTGCCCTTTGTAAGGTGGCAGAACTGGGAGGGAGCAGAAGGGAGGGCAGTGGAGTCCATAGCTGCACCCCAGGTTGAAGGCCATGGAGGCCTGGATGAGGGAGGGGGACACGGAAGGACAGAGAAAGAAGAGGAAGTGGAAGATCTGCAGAGGCTGTCAGTGTTCCCATACTGATCTCTTCTGTCTCCTCCCAGGCTTGTGATCTTTACTTTTCATGACTCATCTGCTTGGAACATTCCTTCCCAGTGCTTGGAGTGGCAGACTCATTCTCATTACCCACACCGTGCCCTGGACGCTACTCATGAAGGGCCTCTGACCCACACTGCCAGCCATCCCTTGGCACCACCCACCTTGCGGCCTGTTTACCAGGATGATGATGTGTTTGTTATCATGGCTCCCTCCCTCCCTCCCCTGAGGGTCCCAGGGGACGCCCTGGTTTGCAGCCCTGCTTGGGGGAGGAAGTGGTTCTGCTGTGGACCCTGAAAGTGGAGATGCGGGGCCTCAGGCTTGACCCTGAGCCAATGACACTGGGGGAAAGCTGGAAAAAAGGGCAGGACACCAGGCTTTCCACTTGGCTGTTGGGTAACCAGGCCTCAGTGCCTGGGGCCAGAGCTCATTCCAGCCCAACATTTCTGGCTGCTACAGCTGGTCAGGAACTCGCAACAGCAGCCCATGGAGATGCCTCCCCAGCTCCTTTCTCCTCACAGAATTACTTCTTCCACTTGGAAGCTTCTAGATATAGTTATGCAAAATACTACCCCCAAGAAAACGGAGCACCCAAATGATTTCTGGGACATAGAAGTGCTGTATGTAGCCCAGTATTTAGGTGGGAGGATGGAGCTGGTCAGAGGAGCTGTTTTAGGAAGGCCACCCACTAGGAGCTGCTTGGACTCAAGCACACTGACATAGTGGTGGACACTGTCCCTCCTCCCCTCAGCCACTCTCTGGAGCAGGAATCCTGGGCTCCAAGACCTGCCAGTGGCGGGGATAGCACTGCTATCCAATGGCAGCACATGCCCAACGTGCCCAAAACTGTGACCTATCCTCTGCAGACTGAACTTCTGTAGCTTTCACCATGACTCTGAGGCTGCCCTGGGCCTCTTCATCCGTGCAGCCTAAACTAGTAAAGGAACTCTAGATCTTGGGGGCTGGGGAGAGGGTGGAGCTGAGAACTGAGCCCTTAGAAATTTCCATGACTATTCTAAATAAGCAAAAACTTCAGCTGAGGCTCCAGTTGTCAATGAAGACCTAGGCTAGAGACAGCCCAGGTCAGGAAGGGTCACCCCTTCCCCGCAGCCCCACCCTCAGCAGGACCATCCCCCTCCCTCAGCCTTGCCTCCTCCTGTTTCCTCCACTCCAGTCTTATCTGCTATCACAGGTCTGTGACACTGGCTGTCCCTCTGCCTCTTCCCCAAGGACCCTTTCCTCCTCCAAGAATCCTTCCCCAGAACTATCAATCCTGTGACCATTTTCATCCAATGACATCACTCTGATGCTGCCCTTCACTTGGTGACACATCTGTTGTTATCTTGAGCAATGGTGCATGACTTTTATTGCTGTTGGTCATTGTCACTTAACAGGCTGGAAAACAGAGTCCCCATCTTCTTATAGTCCTGCCCTCAGCTTGATGATGCAGCTCTGCACCCGGCTAATGTGTCATCCACACGGTCCTGGGTGGTCCTGGGGATCTCCCCAGCCAGCACAGTACCCAGCAGAAGTCAGGCAGGGATGTTTGCAGGTTTGCTCTCCCTCCCTGGCCCCAGCCAGAATCCCAGTGTGCCCAGTTCGGCAGGCTGACTGAGAGAACTCAGGCCCCAGCAACAGCCACACCCACCAGCCTAGTGACTCAGCTCAGGCCTAGTGGCTTAGGGCTTAGGTGTCCTGGAACAAGTGGGTTCTTTCTGCCATTCCTCCTCTTGGCCTAAACACCACTCTCCTCTGACTTCAGCACTTGCCCACTTAACCTTGGGCATCCTGGAGGATCATGTGGAGGCAGTGGCTCCCAAGAGTCCCACATAAGGTCCTAGCCTGGTTCCTCCGCTTACTGCCTGTACGGGGGTGGGGAGGAAAGGGGGTTGGCTAGCTCCTTCCCTCTCTGAATCCATTTATTCCTCTGTGAAATGGGAGTGAACTGTGAGGATATCAGAGATTAGAACAGAGCCTGGCTCAAGTGACAGGCCCTGTGAGCCCCATAAGTAGTGGGTAGCCTACTGTGTATCTGGCTATCTTTCCTCCCCAGCCCACAGCAGAGGACAGCCATAGGCTATTGACTTGGCTACAGCCATAGGCAAAGGAGAGGCCTGTGCCCCTCTGAGAGCCCCAGAACTAACTGGGGCCAGGCATTTCTCCAGAAGGGGTTAAACATTGGCAGTGACTTCATTCCCATCTTGGAACCGGAGGCAGCAGAGAAGCTTAAAAAAAAAAAAAAAAATCAGGCCAGAGTCTGGGTGGAATTTTCCAGGGCTCATAAACAGGACCAGTTGGGATTGCTAACGGAGGTCACCATGGAAACGGTCACATG